CGGAATTTTAACCATTTCTCTGTCACACATCTGATAAGTGTACTTTCTTTTGTCATTTACCTGTTACTGTTATTCACAGGATTTTATTTAACATAGAGAACTTTTTAAATGTTTTTATTGTCAAATGAAAAGGAATGAATGCAATATGTAGTTATCAATGTTTCTTCACTGCTTGAAGTAATAATAATAGGAAATCCAGGGGTTAAAACTGTATAAAATATTTACAATATATAAAAAAAGATGAATCAGAAAGAGGAGAAATGGAGACAAAATGTTCTAAGTCCGTTGTATTATCTTGGAAAACAGTAAAATGATAAATAGAAGTTTGTGTCTGAGAAATCAAGGACGCAACTGTAATCATTGAGATGCACTTTTTTTGTTGTTTTATTTGTGTGATATATTTTATAAAAGTGGTCAAAACCCTCCAAAATTACATAAAGGAAAATCTAGATAAATAGAAACACACGCTGTCTCCATAGACAGTACAACTCAATATAGTAAAGATTTTTATTCTCCCCAAACATGTCTCTAAATTCAAAGTTACCTCATTCAGATCACCAGCTAAACTATTCAAAGGAATTGTCATTTATAATACAGATCTATTCTACATGTACATGAAAGAATAATTTAGAAAGAGCACATTAGATATTTAGACATACTGCAGAACTATAGTTAAAAAATAAAGAAATATTAGAAAAAAATATGATCTTGGTGGAAGAATCAACAAAAAGAACAATGGAACATACAGAGAGTTCATAAATAAAGTCACATATCTATGGGGACCTGAGTGGTGACAAGGATGACATCACAAAGCAAAAGCATAGATTGATTAGTAGATGACATTTGGAAAAAACATCCACTATTTGAAGAAAAGCAGAGCTATATTCCTATCACCCTCCATATGCAAAACAGGATTTCAAGTAGAGTACAAACAAAAGTTAAAGTACATTGACAACGAAATGTTAAGGGAAAAATCTTTGTGTTTAAATATTAGGGAAAGAAATCTTAAACCAGTTCTCCAGGTACAAAGAATGAGAGGAAAATTAAGCATCTCAGCTCAATGAAAGATATCACAGAGTTAATCTAGAGATGACAATCTAGAAAAGCATTTTTAACATTTAAAATCAATTAAAAAGAAATCTTGAAATTTATCAAAAGGTAGGACAATAATTAAAAATTGAACCAAATATATGAATGGATAATTCACACAAAGAGAAGACTGAATTACCTAGAAGTGAATTAAATGATCTTTAAATAAAGTAGTAATCAGATAAATTCTATTTTTAAAAAGTTGTGATATTACTTTGCACTCATAATGACAAAACATAAGAGAGTTGAGTAAAATCAAGTGTTGCATAGGAAATGCTAATAGGAATATAAACTATATACACAATTCTTGAAAGCTGTCTGCCAATATTTTTGAATTAAGTGTTAATAAATTTTATGACCAAGCAATGCCACCCACATTTATACAACCAAGGCTATTCGGTTTCCTACAAAAGAATGCATTGAAAGATGCTCATTTTATTGATGTTCATGTTAGAGAAAATGGGAGACAATTTCATTGTTCATCTCAAGGGGAATGGCTAAGTAAAATGTAATAAATGAATGTTGTTTTTGCAGCTGTGAGAAACAACTGGATTTTCATGTAACAGATTGAGTGAAAACAGCAAACAAACATGAGATTTTATGGAAAAATACAATTTGTGTAAATTAAAATGTGTACAATCATTGTGTATTTTACAAGAGTACATGAACAGTTTTTAACTACATAAAAAAGGATAACAATGTAAAGATGAAGGATAGAGGGGTAAAAATAAAATGAAACCTTTTTTGGAGTGGTGTTAAAAATCTGCTATAAAGTGAAGAGTATAATGACCCCAACTGTGTGCTTGAATTTCAAACTCATCATCATAATCATGATCAAAACAAAAACAAAAAAGCAGTAGTAATCCAAACAATCTTTCTGTTTGGATATTAGGGTCCCAAAAAAGACACCCCTCCTGTTGGCCCAGCATCTGAACAAGTTGAAAAATATATCAAATTTACACAGAGGAAAAACTGTTAATCCAAACAGTAGTAAAGTCTGCTCTATTTCTTCTATTGATTCCATAAGCCTCTAAATACTGCTTTATTGTTTGCTAGTTCTAATTGAGTTTTTCTTATTACCCTACAGATTTTAACTGACACGAGAACCTACTGTATGTCAGGTGTGTCAGTTGTCAATGGATTGCCTATCAATTCCAAATCCACTCAATCATCTATTCTATGATAATAGAAGTAGACCCTGTTAAAAGTTCTCCTTTTCCAGTTGGCACAATGTTAAGTTTTTGTCAGCAGAGTGTGCTAGAGAGGCACTGGAGAAGGAAAAAGATTCTCTTCCTAGTTCTGGTGTGATCTGCTAGGCAGGATCCTGCAATAATCTCTGTCTCTGCGACACCAGACCATGGCAAGGTGCTCAGCTTCTGGAGTGCCAGGTTCTAGCAGCACACGTGGCTTTGCAGCAGAGTGCTGCCAGTGTAGCCTCTCCTGTGAATGGGTCCCTCTGACACCCCCTTGGGTGGCTTTGTAGCAAAGTGCTGTCCTTTTGGAATTTCCCATGAATCACTTCTGTTACAACCTCAGGCAGTTTCATAGGAAGATCTGAGGTGCAGTTCCTTCACATGAGTGGCTTCCCCTGGCACACCAGGGAGCAGATTCTCAATAAATGCTGCTGAAGTGGCACCTGCCAGTGGATGGCTTCTAATGCACCTCCCCTTGGGCAGTTTAGCAGCCTCAAAAATTGTTCAGCTTTCCCTTGAGCTTTGGGCATGCTGTCTCTCAAGAGGTTTGGCTGTCAGTCCCAGGAAAAAGACCCCTCGCAGATTGTTCCTTAATCGATTACTTTATCCGGCACTAAGAGCAGTGACTGCTCTCTATGTCTTCTATTCTTATATTTTCAGAGTCCTCTTTACTCCTTATTGACTAATCTTCCATTTCTCCAATCTTTGGTTATAGTTAACAATTCCTTATAATTAAATTTCTCTTTTCAAATTTCTGTGTGGTTTCAGTCTTTTAACTGCACCCTAACTCATGCACTCAGCTGAGGCTTTCCGATAATCAACAAATCATACAGATTCCTGAATATAAGAGATTAGGGGGCATGGATGGTACCAGTCGAGGAATGATATTTCTGGCTATGGTTTTCCTCTTTAATGAGACAATTCTTTCAAGCATCATCATCAGTATTAATGACACCACTTCTACCTTTATTATTCATAATGATTATAACAAAAACACTATTTAGATTACGTTTGCTGAGCCATGTGTCAGACATTGTGAAGTACCATATGTTGCAATTAACTTTTTTTACACTTTATCTCATTTAATACTTACAGTCACACCACAAGAAAGATATATACCATTGGGTATTTTACAGGTAAGAAAAACGAGGTTCAGGAAACATAAGTGATTTTCACAAGGTCAGAGCTAATAAGTGGTAATGTTTTCTATCCAGGCTGTCTGATTTCAAAGTTTATGTCTTAACCTGCTATACTATCCCATCTCACTTGTCAATTCTTAGTATAAGCATCTCATGCATAATAGCTAGATTGTATCCTCTCCTTTATGGATTTTTAATTTTAAATATATCCTCCACAATGTTCATGAAAGTTCATATTCTATTCTATTCTATTCTATTCTATTCTATTCTATTCTATTCTATTCTATTCTATTCTATTCTACTCTACTCTATTCTATTCTATTCTATCCTTATCCTATCCTATCCTATCCTATCCTATCCTATCCTATCCTATCCTATCCTATCCTATCCTATCCTATCCTGTCCTATCTTATCCTATCCTATCCAATTCCCTTGCAGGCAATTTTGCTTTGCTTGTCTTTCTTACCTACTTGAAATTCTCAGAATACCAAACACCTTATTCATCAGCAATTTGGCATATGCTATTCTCCCTTTCTGTTTTGATTTTTTCTTTTTCCTTCTCATTCTGATAAGTGTATACCTAACTTTATCATTCATTTCACATGGAGGGCTTCACCCTCTGATCTCGTAGAACCTCGTGCATACTCGTTTATAGTCACTTGTTAGATGAATTACTTTCAGATATCCCTAACTAGATTCAGAATTGGGGGTGCAAGAGGAGACAAGGACCGCCTGAAATTCTTATTTTATTTTCAGAATCTAGTATCCACATAAGCGACTATTGAATGAGAAAATGAAATTAGGGTGTGTTGCTAATGGTAACTCTATGCTAATGACTACAAAGGTAGAGAAGCCACCAGAGGCAGGATAAGGAAGAGAGCAGATCTCCAATCACTTCCTGAATATGAATGCTAAAGCATCCTGAAGAGAATGGGCTCACATTTGGTGTAAGCACATGAAAAGATTATAAAATAGCAGTGAGTATCAAGCCACAAAAAGCCATTTTTTACATTATCCTCAGTCCTATGCTTATCACAATATTAGCAGCTCCCTCCTTCGAGTGCAGACTGAAAGGCTTAGGGGAAGAGTCAGGGAAACTACCTCCCCTTGCTTTTCATCCTTCAAGCAGATCTCTATGGGGTGAGAGAGAGAGAGCTAAGATAAGAGCTATGGGAGGATGGCAATGGGGAATGTAGAACACATAAGGGAAATCTTGGAGGGACAGGGGTGTCTTTAGGAGAAAAACTTAGTGAATTTAGGGCTGTGAGGACAACTTATTGGAGAGAACATGTTTATAAGGAAGGCTAAATAGAATAACTAATTTAAATAAAACATAGCAAAAATCTAACTCCCAAATCAAGCCTCAAGTTGAATCCTTTTCGAAGGGAAACTGAGACTAGGCAGCAGGGTCTGTTTCCCACATGTGCTAAATATTTACAACCTCTTCTTTCATGGAGTCCAAGATATAGATGTATTTTCCCAAGGTTTGAACTAGCTCCTCATTTCTTTATGTCTTAAATGCCTTCCCTCCCACGTGCCCATCTGAGTGAGAGACACAGAAATAATTTAAATACACCAGTGCAATGAGAATAAATGTTCTTTATTAGGCAGAAGCCAGATGCTCACATCCTTTCATAATATCCCCATGTTCAGGTGTTGGGCTCTAGGGACAACGACCTTTCTTGAAAAGCAGGAAAGGGAGTTCAGTGGTATTTGTGGGCCAGGGCGTTGGCCACACCAGCCACCACCTTCTGGTAGGCAGCCTGCAGTTGTGGGGTGAATTCCTTGCCAAAGTGTTGAGCCAGCACAACAACAAGCACGTTGCCCAGGAGCTGTGGGGAAAAGACAAGAGACAGGGGCATGGTTAGCAGAGGGACCCAGCTTGGACTCAGAATATTCTAGCCTCATCTCAAACTGTGCCCTAGAACACAAGCAGAAAGATAGCTGGATCTTGGATATTACTGTTGATGTGAATCCACCCATATCAGTCTGAATTTATACTTAATAATGTCCCTCCACTTCTGTCTTAACTCAGAACTTAAGTTATCACTGTTATTCTTTAGAACCATGCAAAGAAGCAATAATACAGTTTATTCTCTTTGCTTTGAAAGAAAGAGATAGAGATAAGGGAAAGAAAGCGTTAGATAAATTTTTTTGTGAAGTAGATTAAAAGAAGAAAATTATTTTTAATTAAACACTCAAAATAAAATGTTTAATTAAAAAGATAGAGAGAAGACATGGCAGAGAACAAAAAGAGGAAAACAAGATTGAATAAGTAGAAACAAGGGATGTGAGCAAAGAGAGTAAAAGAAACTAAACGTTCCTCCGGAGTCCACAGAGATGCAGCCATAGTACCTCTTCCCATTCTGAACTGCATCCCTCTCCCCATGACACGAGCTTGACCATAAGAAGGAAGACAAAGAAGAAATTGAGGGTCACATGGACTCACCCTGAAATTCTCAGGATCCACGTGCAGCTTGTCACAGTGCAGCTCACTCAGGGCAGCAAAGGTGCCCTTGAGGTTGTCAAGATGATGCACACCGTCACCAAAGGAGTGCAGCACCTTCTTGCCATGGGACTTCACCTTGGCGTTGCCCATAACAGCAGCAGGTGTGGACAGATCTCCAAAGGAGTCAAAGAACCTCTGAGTCCATGGATAGACAACCAGCAGCCTAAAGGATGAAAACAGCACAAAGGACAGAGGGAGTCAGTGCCTGTCAGAAACCCAGGGGACTGCTCTGTCTCCATCTCCACATGCCCAGCTTCTGCTGTTCTCCTTAAGCCTGCCTTGCAACCTGGATACCAACCTGCCCAGGGCTTCACCACCAACTTCATCCTCCTTCACCTTGTCCCACAGGGCAAGGACGGCTGCCTTCTCCTCAGCAGTCAGCTCCACCATGGTGTCTGGTTTTGTGGTTGCTAGAGAACACGGTTGTGTCAGAAGCAAGTGTAATCAGCAGTTGGCCCTGCTCTTTCTTTTATGCCCAGCCCTGGCTCTGCCCTCCCTTCTTCTGTGAGCAGATTGGCCAAGGCCAGGGTGTGGTTCTGCAGGGTGAGGCCTGAGTGATGGCAGCCATACCTGTCCTCAGCAGTTCTAGCACTGGCTTATGAGTCTGGCTTCAGAACATCAGCCCTCTCTCTAGATATCTCCAGGTTCCATCCCAGCAGTGCAAATGCTCCTATGATCGTCCTCCTTGGCAAATTGACTTGTACGTGTTTTTAGAATGACAGCCTGGTAATCTCTCAGAGTTTGCCTCTTCAATTTTCTTATTACACAGATGAAGAATCTGAGGTCCAGAAAGTGGAAGGGATTTACCTGTTGTGGTTCAGCTTCAGACTCTATGGCTGGATCACCTCCTCAGTCTTTGGAATATGCAAAATAATGACAAGGACAGCATGGATGAGACCTCGGCCCCTGTTCTAAGTATATCTTCCTTCTCTGGGTTTGGTTTAAATCCTCCTGGTAAGAAAATAAATATTCATTCATTTTTTTCTTAATTTAGTCATATAATCAAATAAAGGATGATTGAAAAATAGAATAAATATGAATCGAGTGGTCTGTGAAATAATTACTCTATTAGGTTTTGGGGATCCGCAGATGAAAACATAGAGATTTCTCAATGTAGTAAGAAGTAGAAATAAATGAAAATCAGTTACAACCCAAATTGTTAGTAACACTAAGGGAAGCAATGTTTTCAACGAGTAACCAGGGATATATAACTTGTTTCTTTCTGGACTGATCTGGGAAAGTGTCTGCAAGAACAGAGCAGCTTCTCTGTGACTTCAAAAGAGAAATAGGAAAGTGGAAGGAATTCCAGCTTTGTCTCAGATTATTTTTTTTCCTCCCATATTGTTGTGTGTATAATCATTTCTTTGACTCAAATTCATCACCCATAATCCCATTTTCTCTATATATTTTTGTTTATTTGTTTAAACTCTCTTCTATTAAAATTTACCCTTCTATCTGTATAGATTTTCCAACATCCCCCCTTGTTTTCCCCCATGTAATAAATTTTGTTAACTTCACATGTTGAGTTCTGCCCCATTAAAAGATGCAATGAAAAGAACAAAAGCAGCAAGTATTTCTGAGCTCAGCATAGGATCTCAGATTTCCCTGAGGGCTCTGCTACTTATTTTCCCTACTTTCTATCAGTTCCACCTACTGCACCTTCCCCCTTCCTGAAGTCCCATTTCCTGTCACTAAGGAAAGGGCCATACATTTTTTACTCACCATTTTTCTTCTACCTTAGAATCCTCTCCTGATTCAGGCACCTTGATGTCTGGAATCATCTTTCTCTCTCCATTGCCATCACTGGCAACAGATATTTAACAGAAATCTCTCATCCTTTTAGCTCTAACGCTCTGAAACTCCAAGTACAGAAACATTTTTAGGTGAACTAGAAGAAAAGGACTGCTCCGTTTCTAAAGAAATTCACAAAATTCCCACTTCCATTGCTTCATTCTCCAAAACACTTTCTCCATCACCCTAAAAAAAAGTAAAAGTTCATCACCCTATTTACCTGTCCTAAGCCTCATCAAGTACTTGTGGAAAAACTTACTCTGATTATTCTTAGACATGTAGGAAAGGCTTGGTTCTTTTCTGGCTATCCAGAGATTAGATCAGAATTATATGCCCATAAAAAATTATAGGGATAAAACAGATAGAATTTAAATATTTTCAATTTATATTCATTCTTCTCTAAAACCCTGAAGCAAAGAGGATCTTACTATTGGTCTATCCTTGGGAAAGGATATTTCAGGTTGGCTTCTGGGAAAAGAGGTCTTTCAAATGTTTTAAATATTAAAAAGAAAGAAAGAAAGAAAGATTTGGTTTTACTTTTAGAGTTTGAGTTTCATTTTATTGAGTTTAAACCTCTATTAGCTTTATCATTGTTTTACATTCAGACTGTTTTCAAGACCCTATCTCACTCCCCTGATATCAGAGGTCAGGCATATGTAAATAAAAGCAGGTTTTCTGGGGAAGTTTGGACATGTCTTTTGCAGGAACTCTGTGTCATGGAAAATTCACAGACCTTATGAAATAGTATAGAATACTTTTATATTTTCCTGTAAAGAGCCAAATTGTCAAGACTACAGCTTTGCCATCTTGATTGACAGAAATTAACATCTACTTAAAGCCTTCCCCTGCCATTTCTTGTGCTCAGAAATTGTTCCCCTAAAGTTCTTCTATTGAGTCTTCTTCCTTAAACCTTCTTTTGCCATGGATGACCCATGAGCCACTCTTTTGTACTGGCATCTGCTGCAGCTACCGTCATCCTGGCTTCTGGCCAGGAGTTGCTGCTCTCTCTCACCATTGCTACTTAGCATGACTGAAGAGTGAAACAGAATTTTCCTTCTATTGCTCATAACCCCGCAGGGATAAGGCTGCAAGCTGTAATAAGACATCAAAAGATCAGACATACCAGACAAAATAAGAAAGGATGAATATTGATAAATGTGGTCGTGTTCAGAGCCTTAGGTTCAAATCCAGATCAGCATTCAAAGGTTCTGGAAAGTTCTTAGGCCCACTGCCATCTTCACCATTGTGAAGTTACTTCTACTCTGTGAAGCATACCATAGGATGCCTGCTCTGCTTTGATTCCAACCCCACTGAGCATTCAACACACAGACAGACAGACAGACAGACACACACACACACACACATACACACACACATACACACACACACACACACACAAGTCCCCAAGAGAGAGACAGAGAGACAGAAGGTTTTTTCCTTTACTCCAGTCTGTCAAGTTTACCTAATTTCTAATACTCTATACCAGGATGGGCCTGGTCTGAGTATAATTAAGAGGGTGAATATTAACTTCCTTCAAAAGAATCATGACATTCATCTGGAGAGGTGTGGTATTGTCATTGTTTCAAAAATTACACTCAACTAGAACACATTTGTACATGCTCTAGTGTTCAATTTTAAATTCCTTAAGTACACTATTTCAGCAATTTAATTTATATTTTCCTGAGTCAAGCACAGTTATTCTTTACTCTTCTCTTCCAAATACACAATCTCTTGGTTACCTCAGTTTAGCATCCTTTCAAAAATAAAATATTATTAAATTAAATTAATAAAATTAAATAAAATAAAAATGCTCCAAAAAGAGTAGAACTCATAAAACAAAGGACATATAGATAGAATAGTTTGAGAATAGGATAGTTCAACTTGCCTTTAAAATGTCATATTTCTTTCTAAAAAGCAATGAAGTTAATATAGCCATAACTTTGATAAAGTATATTCTAATTATTACAGAACAATTAATATGTCAGTCTACCACTTCCACATTAACATTTCCTCCATTCAGCTCAGATTTTCATTCATAATTAGCTTTTGTTTACCTCACTAAGTGGCCCATGTGTTGTTTATGGAGAGCACAGGGGCAGTCTTTCCCCAGTTAAATTTGAAACTCTACATCTTTAGAGACAGAATCTTGGCTTCAGTTTGGGCACCCTTTACCAATACGTAAGGTATTAATTCATAAGGCCAAATCTCCAAGACATTGCGCTGAGGCTCAAGAGATGGATAATCTAGAATATCATGCTAAATTCTCTTAACATTAAATTAAAGTATTTTTAAATGGTTATAGAACCTAACCCACAATATTATTTTGTTCTCTGTCTCCTTCTTACTTCTCCCCTCCTCTCCTCTTCTCTCCATTCTTACCCTCCTCTTTCCTCTCCTCTCCCCTTTCTCTCTCTCCCTTCCTCCTTTCTCTTTCTAACTTTCTTTCTTTCACACACATACCCCATCTTCATTCAAACATGCTAAACATACTATGTAAAGCAACATTATAGGGAGGAAATTGAAATAACCATTGGATAAATTATCAAATATAATTAAGATCAAATATTAAGGCATTACTTCTACTCCTAGACTTTTACAGAAGCTCTCCTCTAACAAAGAATGAGAATATAATAACAAGCTGCCAAGTCTCTTTCCATCCCTTCACTTCCTCACTCCCAATGTGGAGACAGTAATGCCTGGTATATAGTAATTTTTTGTGCTTGATGCAAGTCCCATCCGGGTGATGTTCTCTTGAATTCTCCAGTATTGGGACTTTTACGCCCAACTTCTTGTCTCGATTCATTGGCCAGTTCCAGAGGTGAAGGAACAAAAGAGAGTACAGTAAGTTTTATATATTTTTGTTCTTTTCATGACCATTTAGAGGGAAGAAGGTTACTTTGGTTCCCCCTTTCCAGATCATGAAACCTACAATCTCTCTTACCCTCTTTCAAATTGTTTGAAAGTCTCTTCTTCTCCTAATAGCTGATTCTTATGAGAACTATTCTGTGGTCAGGAGTATAAATGTAGTCTTCATAAAATTGCTCTGAGATATCTGCTTCTGGGATGTGAGCCCATGGTTCTTAAGTTTCCTATTCAGATATAAAGAGTTCTCAGTGCTTAGTTTGTAGAACGACCTGAGAAGAAAAAAATGAATATAAAAAAGCCTCTGCCCTCAGGCAATTCAAAATATAAAGATGAAACAGTAAACTCTAATGCGTTGCCTATATGCTAGTAGAACAGGCAGAGCTATTATGAAAGCACTTTTATACAGAAAAAAGCAACAGGTTCTGTTTCAGGTAGTCAAGTAAGTCTAAAATTAATCAACAAGATCACAATATAGATTTAAAGAAATGCATACAAATTAGAAGGTTCTAGATATCCTTCTAATTTGACATACGACAAAAATAGTGCTCAAATTTGTTTTACTACCTATGATCAGAAAGCAAATGTCTGATCAGTGCTTTACTTTCCTACACGCTTCCCCATTGTAGATTGAGGCATTAACACCAAAAGAACACTATACAATCATCCATTGTTCAGATTGTCCCTCTAGTCCCAGGAGTTCTAAAACAAGGTATAATTATTCATTCATTCGCTGACTATATCCTTTAACAAATACTCACTTACTGCTTATGGAAGCACTTAACAAGCCACAATAGTCATGTAGAATAGTAGAAAATAGGCAGCAATGTCTATACAGCATGGAGTGTGAGTGTGATGGATAAAGAAATGTGAAAAATGGGTAGGGGAGAAGGGTTTGTAAAGATTTCCCTAGGCAATATTGCAAAGATCTTTGAGGCTAAGGTCAAAAGAGGTCACAAGTGATATGTGAGTGTTGAACTGTGCCTGAAATGGGACAAGGGCAGGAATTATTTTGGGAGATGTTTTGGGGTTAAGCGAGAGAAGGGTGTTATTTCTTAGAGCAGGAACTCTTGATGGAGTGTAGTATTGTGGGCTACAATGTGCAGGCAAGGGAAGGAAGAAAAAAGGAAATGTAACAGTGTCTTGAGCAATCATGATATCTCTAATTGAACATATTATTTTTTGAGTAATTGTTGGAAATGGATCAGATCATAAGCTGAAGACTATGTCTTAGGTTTGAAGTCTCCCATAGGCCCCTGTAATGCCAGTATCCTCTCTATATTTCAAACCTTCTTGACAATTCCTCTGCTTTGGAGGTAGAATTGTCATCCATTAGTGACTATGTGTGGTCTGCTTCTTTTTCTCATTTCCCCTGACCTCTTTGTATAAGACACAAAAGCTTCCTAACTGTAGACACTCAGGGATTTTCCCATACACCCAGAGGAAAAAAATAAAATAAGTTAAATGAATCAGGATGTTGAGATGAAAGTTCTTTATTAGGTACAAGCCATACCCTTGAGGCGGAGGCATTATTTCCCCAAGTTCAGAAGATAGACTCTAGGGAAATAGAGTCTTCTAATGGTCTCCAGGAAACAGGCCAAGATCTCAATGGTACTTGTGAGCAAGGGCATTGGCCACTCCAGCCACTACCTTCTGATAGGCAGCCTGCAACTCTGGGGTGAATTCCTTGCCAAAGTGTTTAGCCAGCACAACAACCAGCACGTTGCCCAGGAGCTGTGGGGAAGAGGTAGATAGACACAAACACATGATTAACAGAGAAATCAAGCTTGGCTTCTGAGAAATTGGGCCAACAATCATTTTCCTCTGCCCACACTGTAGCAGAAGTTAATCCTCAGGCTACCTCCACCAGCATAAATGAGTAAATATATACGTATGTATTACAAACAGATAGATAGATATGTACTCTATGCATTTATATTTTATCATATATATTATATGTACTAATTAATGGATTAATTAGTGTGAGGATGGGCTGTCTTTTAGCAACTACTGCTGCCCCAAATCCCTACTTCTGGTCTTTCATCCTCACATATTCACTTTCCTTTCCTTTCCATTGAATCTTGACTCTATAATGTTCCGATTATTCTTCAATTTTGAAACGATTTAGAAATTCTAGAACAGCACCATCTGCCTCTCCTCTTTGAGGAACCTTTCCAATACCATTTGGAGAGACAGAGGGTTTTTCCAAGCGTAGAAATAGCATACGAGAGCTGGTATGCACAATTTGAGCACTAGGTAGGGAAAAGGAAGTTAGGGGGAAAAAAGCGAGAGAGGCAAAAAATAAGACATTAAATAAAGAGCTTGATAAAAAAAAAAGAAAGATTATGAGAAAGGAAACAATATGGAATAATCAAAGAAAGAATATGAAACTGTATAAATTTTGAAAAGCATTAAATGATGACATGCAAAAATAAAAAGTAATGTGGAGGAAGAACATGTAGGTAAAAGAACCAGCAAAAGACTAGAAAATAAAAAGAAGAAAAGGGGGGCATCTCCTAGACTCACCCTGAAATTCTCAGGATCCACGTGCAGCTTGTCACAGTGCAGCTCACTCAGGGCAGCAAAGGTGCCCTTGAGGTTGTCAAGATGATGCACACCGTCACCAAAGGAGTGCAGCACCTTCTTGCCATGGGTCTTCACCTTGGCGTTGCCCATAACAGCAGCAGGTGTGGACAGATCCCCAAAGGAGTCAAAGAACCTCTGAGTCCATGGATAGACAACCAGCAGCCTAAAGGATGAAAACAGCACAAAGGACAGAGGGAGTCAGTGCCTGTCAGAAACCCAGGGGACTGCTCTGTCTCCATCTCCACATGCCCAGCTTCTGCTGCTCTCCTTAAGCCTGCCTTGCAACCTGGATACCAACCTGCCCAGGGCTTCACCACCAACTTCATCCTCCTTCACCTTGTCCCACAGGGCAAGGACGGCTGCCTTCTCCTCAGCAGTCAGCTCCACCATGGTGTCTGGTTTTGTGGTTGCTAGAGAACACGGTTGTGTCAGAAGCAAGTGTAATCAGCAGTTGGCCCTGCTCTTCCTTTTATGCCCAGCCCTGGCTCTGCCCTCCCTTCTCCTATAAGCAGATTGGCCAAGGAAATAGCAGAAGTTCATTGGTTTGTTAGAATAGAAGATGCACCCTCATCCCTCAGTCCCGTTCAACAGGTCCTGCTATTGACTGTTCTAGATCTTAGGTGTCTTGACTCAGAAACTCTGCTCTCCCTCTGCTTATCTCCTGATCTCATCTCCTTTAGTAGTTCCTTCTACAAATATACTCCTAGTCTCATTTATGCATAAATGTTTTAGTCTGATATAGTGGTATGTACCTTAGAGTTTAACTTACCCAATTCTTTCACTTTATAGATAAGAAAACTAAGACCTAGAAAGCAGAAATTTTATCAAGTTGATTCTATATGGAGCTTCCCTTTGCCTCTAGAGATATTTATAAATGATTGGAATAGATAAATATTTTGTCATAGTTTTAACTTTCTTTCTCCTTCTTTTGATAAATATTTGCAGTCACAAAACTTCTTTTTTCCATTTCTTCATTGAAATAAATGTTCATTAAAAGAATGAGAAACAGTGAGTATTGTCTCCTTACCAGCTACTACAATATATTTGTGGAGCATGAATTATAATGGGAAGAATTTAATGAGAGATAAAGGAAAATGTCTGATACCTATAACATATTTGTTTAAAACTGTGATATAACTAAAGAAAGAATGCAAAGGAATTTGCCAGGAAGATTTTACCTCACTCAGTCACGTTAACTCTGACAGGGTTTCTGGGAAAATGCAAGTGCAGAAATTTCCACAGCTGTGTCCTCAGGAAAAAAGTAGACTTAAATCCAGGAATGAAGATTCAAAGGAAATTACACTCTTTTCTCAATTCAAAATAATAATAAAATGACATACAAATATATATCCACAAGCATAGCTAGAAGGAAGAAAGGAAGGGAGGGAAGAGAGAGAGGGAGGGAGGGACTAACAGAAGGGAAGAGAATGGAATGAAAGGGAAGGAGGAGGGAAAATAATATAAAGAAGAGGAGAGGAGAGATTGACAATTCCAAAATTTGACAAGGATATAGATCAACAAAAACTTTAATACTCTGCTAATGAGAGTGTAAAATAGTATAATTGCTTTGGAAAATATTTGGTAGTGTCTACTAAAGCAGATTATATGCAAAACCCATGACCTAGCAAGTATACTTCTAGATATAGAGAAACGTATGCTTGTGTGTGTCCAACGACATGTAGATGAATGCTTGAAACATCAATATGCATAAGAATCTCAAGCTAGTAGCAACTTAAAGTTTCCTCGTTTAGTGGAATAGATAAATATGGTAAAGGAAAATAGTGAAAAGAATCAATTACTGCTTCACATACAACAATACAGATGAATTGTACAATGTAATGTTCAAACTATATGATTTATATATTGAAAGATGGACAGTGTGACTGTGATTTAGATCACAAGGGAGAGTGGTATATGAAAGGAAGGTGCAGAGGATCCATGAATGATCTTTAAACTATGTTACATATTATTATTCTTTAACCTGAAAGCCAAGAAAAATCATTGAAAACTTCAAGGATAGGAGTTGCATGATTTGATTTATATTTTTCAAAAATTATTCTTACTTCAGTATATAAATAGATTTTAGGGATAGATAAGCGAGAGACAAATAGTTAGAATGATATTGTAGTGGGAGAGGAGTAAAAATGCCTTTTCTATTTCAGGCTTGAGCAATGGATGATGTGTTAGTCACTGAGATGGGGAACACAAGAAGAGGGCCATGTTAGGAAAAGATCAAGACTTCAGTCTTGGACATATTGTATTTGATGCACTTTTGAGAAATCCAAAATGGGATATTAAGGAAATAGTTGGATACATGGGTCTGGAGCTCAGAAAGAACATAATCAGGTCAAGAATACACAATGAATCAGAGCACAGAGGAACAGATCCTAGTGCATTGTATAAACCATGACCACTAACTTTTCAAAAATGATAGACAACACACTTTATAAATATCTCCTTGAAACCTTGAAACATATTGTGAGGTAGGAATCATTATCCCAATTTACAAACCAGAAAATTAATTCTGAAAAGAAGTTAACTAAACTTTTCTAGGGGATGGGGCTATAATTTGATCTTTGTCTATTAATCCCAAAGCCCTGGCTTTTTGCTTCTATGCCAGGGACTTAGGTACAGGAATTTGAAGTGATTGCCACGAAGGTAGCTGTGCTCATTGCCAGCTCCAAACAAGAGACATGTAGGCATTTTCTGTTCTGTCAACAGATTTCCTTCTTTTCTTTCACCAGACAGGGAACCTGGCTATCATTGGTGACTTCTCCACTCTCTGTTTCACTATGTTCCCTTTGCCACAATGCTCCCTTACTTAATTTATTCTTAGTTTCATTGCCCCTGTCAAGTTCAGTTCTTTGCTCACCACTTCACTGTAATCACAGCAAGCCTATATGGCTATATTCAAGTTCGATCCTTTCTTGTCAGTTTTATACCCACATGTGGATCAATTTCCCTATTCATTATGTCACTCTTGTGTGCAAGAAACTTCACTGGTTCTTCCTGCTGTGAAAATATTTTCTTTTCCTGCTTATTCTGGTCTCTCTAACAGCTTCTCTAATTTTATACCACCCCACTGCTTTTAAAGGGCCGATTTCTCTTTTGTCACTTAGTCTTGGCATGCTGATTCCTGAATTTGTCATTTCCCCATGTAAATGGCCTTTTATCTCCACCAAAGTCTTAATAGAATTATAAATATGTTCCAAGTCACAGAGCTAGCAGGTGAAGTACATATTCGAACCAAGGCAGTCAGTTCCTATGCCTTACGGATGGTTCCTCCATTAATACCATTGAAAATATGAGAGAAAAGTTTAGAGCATGGTCCCTGACTGGGTGAAGCCCCATCTTCACTGCATTATAGCTAATAAATATGTTTCTTATAGTAAATAGAAGTGAACTTAACCCAAAAAAGACCTCTATCCTGAGTTTGTACAATAACAGCCTATCCAGGTCCCCTAATTTGAGTCCTAACATGCCCATGCTTACTATCAACACTCTTCTTGCATCTCGCAAGAGTACCTCCAGTCCCTCCCTTTTTCTAAAGACCTCGTCCAACTCAAGAGTCTACTTTCCCTTCTTAGGAGTAACTACTTCATTGAAGCCACTCTTATCTTACAGAATCTCATAAAAGTTTCTTCTCTATTTACTCCAAATTCCCAATCTCCAATACTCCCATTCCCATCAGAGTGTTTTCTATTAGCTGAATCAAAAAACCAGATAAAGACAGAGAGAAAAGACAAGGATATTCCATATAGAGCATAATTTTTATTTTATTTTTATCATGTAGGAGTTAAGTCTGGAGGCACGGCACTGTCCCCTAGCCTTCAGGAGATTGACTCTTGGGACACCGGGTCCTCCAGTAGGCGCCAGCATAGCTGGACAGGGAACTCAGTGGTACTTGTGGGCCAGAGCATTAGCCACACCAATGGTCAGCTTCTCCCAGGCAGCCTGCATCTGTGGGGTAAATTCCTTGCTGAAGTGGGTTGCCAAGACAATCAGTATCATGTTGCCTAGAAGCTGGCGAGAGAGTAGGAATAAAAACAAAATAGTACATGGTGAAAAGAAGGCCTCAAGCTGGCCTTGAAGCAAATAAATAAAACACTCATTTCCTTCCTAGTAAGAGTTTGAGCAACTTTCAGGGTCATGCTCCCCCAAAAGTGCTTCATTATGGGCTTTACATTGGCTTCAATATGACTCCAAGCGCTGTACCTCCCATTGTGCTCTATTCTTCTCTCATTTGCTCTGCCAATTCATGACCTCAGAACATTGCTTGGGATTGCTTCTCTCCTTTAGAGACTCTTTGTCTTTTTTAAAAGTAGGATTATAGTGCTTCAAGAAAACTTAATATATGTAATCTAAGTCCCCAGATATTACATACATTCAAATTGTTTGGACACTCATATGACAAAGAATCCTGTGCCTTGTACACAAGAGCATTTCATCACTGCTAAGGGGTGAGAGGAAGAGGAGAAACACAATCATCCATTGAAAAGATTTCTCTTACTTTGCCCTGCTTAGTCCTAGTTCTACACTCAAGAACCATGCAGAAATATATTCATCAATTTTTATGGAAAATTTCTGTTTCCAAAGGCAAGGTGTCCCTCTGCCTGGCTCAGTTTGTATTCTCCACCCCAAAATATTTAGCTCAATTTTGGCTAATGCTCTTCACACCATGTATTTTTTAAGAAATATCAGAAGGCCAGTGGCCTCCACTGATCATAGTAATTGGTCTGCTTGGTCTTACGTACTATGATCTTTGGAACAACTTAACTACCAAAATCAAACCCTTCTATAAAATATTACCTCCCCAAAATATCAATATAGGAAAAGACTTAAGTGCCTGTTTCTCCTAAAATACCCACAGCACAAATATATAGGATGAAAGAACAAAGCACAAGCTCGCTCAGAACTCACTCTGAAGTTCTCAGGATCCACATGCAGCTTGTCACAGTGCAGCTCACTCAGCTGAGCAAAAGTGGCCTTGAGGTCATCCATGTGCTTGACAGCATTTCCAAAGGATGTCAGCACCTTCTTGCCATGGGCCTTGACCCTGGGGTTTCCCATTATTGCAGATTCAGATGACAAGTTGCCAAAATTGTCAAAGAACCTCTGGGTCCATGGGTAGACGACCAGGAGCCTGTTGGGTGATCATAGTCACAGACCAGATGGGAAGTCAGTGTACGTAAGAAACCTGACCAGTCTCTCTTTCAGGAACGCTGTCTGCCTTTCTGCCCCCTGCCCTGGCCTCCAGTGCCTACCTTCCCAGGATCTCGCCTCCAACTGTCTCCACGTCCACCTTGGCCCACAGGCTAGCAACAGTAGCCTTCTCCTCAGCAGTAAAATGCACCATGGTGTCTGGGAGCTTTCTGGTGATCACAGATGAGCCAGAAGCAAGTCTGTGCTGATGCTTCTTTGTGTGGTCTTTTATTCCTCCTCTCTGGCCCCCAGGCCCTCTCTTCTCCCAATGAAATAAGACCATTGGTCAAGGATGGGTTG